ATGCTTGGGAGGGTAGAGGGACAGCACAGGAGGGGAAGACCGTCTATGAGGTGGATTGATTCAGTGACTGAGATAATCGGGATGGGAGTGCCAGAGACAGTGCAATTGGCACAGGATAGAGCAGGGTTTAGGGCTGTTGTACATAGGGTCGCTATGAGTTGCAAACGACTCAACGGCATATAACATCATAACAACAAGTGTCATCAATCGAATATGACTCATATTGACCTTTGCACAAAAGACCTGATGTTACTGTTATAATATTAATAATAATAATTCTGCATTCTCTATCATAGTTATTATTGAAGATTAATTGAAAAAATATATATAGCTATTAGAGAAGCACATAGTAAGTGTTCAGTGCATAAGAACCACTCTTATCATCCTCAGCATCTTTGTTTACAGAGAGAACCAACAATCCTAGCCGTAACTACCCGTCTTTCTTCCCTAGGTCTATGCTGTGGTGGTAATTGCATCTGTGGTAGGATTTTGTCTGCTGGTGATGCTGTTTCTTCTTAAGTTAGCAAGACACTCCAAGTTTGGCATGAAAGGTAAGAAGGGTTATGTTTATTTTACTTATTATGTGGAAACATTTTTGGCTTATGACTAATGTTAATTACCAGTAAAGTAGGAAACAGCTAAATTTACAATGAGTAGGATTTAAGGCTGAAAAAATAGCAACAAGGATATGACACTAAAAATCAAGACCTAGCAAAATAATGGTGATTACTCAGCCCTAGCCACCTTCCACTGAAGATGAAAAACTAGTATCAAGGGACTAATGGTAATAGCCAGTTGTGCTGGAAGTTTCCTTTGTTGCCAAATGGCCGACAGAGCTTGTTATGGACATACGTACTTTGTGCAGAAAGGTTCTTTCTACTAGAGTTCAACTTCCATATATTTAGAGGTTGCTGTTTGGGGTCTGTGGCTGCTGCTTCCTCTAGGAGCTCTGGTGTGTACTGTGTAACGTGCAGGACTACTAGCTGAAAGGTCAGTGGTTTCAACTCACTAATTGCTTTTTTTTTTTTTTTTTTGAGAAAGTTGGGCCGTCATCTCTTAAAAAGATTCCTGTCTTGGAGACCCTCGGGAAGGTGGCTCTGAGTTCCACTTAATGGCAATGGGTTGTTTATCGTTTTACTGCTTTTTCAAATATAAACAAGTTTGGGAAGAAAAATACAACTAGTCATTGGTGTTATACTGAAGTTTGTGAATGTATGACTTTTTTTAAGTGGAAAATTTCTCAGTTATAGATTAAAATGAGAGAATATTGTTCTCTAAGAATAGACACTTTATCTTTTAGGAGGATTTAAAGTAAGTTTTAGGGAAAAATACTTGTGTAATTACTCTTGTCAAAATATAAAGCTAAGAGTTTCAGTCACTTAAAAGCATGTGCTTTGGAGTTTAAATTGTATGTTGGCTAATATGCTAGTGATGTATTGTGTGTGGTCTCTTAAAAAGCCCCATGAATCTGTGAAAAAGGTTTGGCGGTGATTTTTGTTAGTTTTGTTGGGGAGCAAGTCTGGTGTGTTGTGTTTTATCCCTGTGATCCATTACAATGACTGTGATGTAGCTCGTTCTGCATGGAAGGGGATGTGTAAGCAGTAGTGAGATCCGGAATACGATGGGCACCAGGGCACATCAATGTCTTCTGCTTCTGATGTATCCTCTTTCCCTTGTAGGTTGTTGTTATGTGTCATCAAGTCACCCACAACTCATAGCCACCCTATTTTTTAGCCAGTCTGAATGACTCTAACACACCTATCCCCATTGCCCCAGTTACCCTGTCAATCCATCTAATATGGTGTCTTCCTCTCCTACACTGTCCTTCCACCTTTCCAAGCGTGATGTCCTTCTCTAAGGACTGATACTCCTGGCCACGTGCCCAGAGTATGTGAGATGGAGCTTCAAAATCTTTGCCTCCAGGAGAATCTTGTACTGTGACCAAAATCCTAAATCAGAAATGAACAGAGAGGATTAGTAGTCAACCAGGGTTAAAGTAATGCCAAACCTCCTCTTGATTAGCCTAGTGATGGATCCCTGACATCTTATGAAGAGGGAAATTCTTTCCTCTTCCAGTTGTAAATAAGGGTCAGAGAGAAATTGTGATTGTAATTCATTCTGCCACACTGATTCTCAAGCTCAGCTGTTTACATACAGATTGCAGAGTCTGCCCCTAGAATTTTGGTTTACTAGGTCTGGAGTAGGCTAAGGATTTGCCTTTTTCTTGCTGTTCACACTTCCTTTGAGACTCCCTGTTGTCTAGGCTGAACAGGGACTGACTGCGCTCTCTGAAACAACAAGGAGTGTGGGGCAGTGGCATTGCAAATACAACACCTGCATAACTGCCCTGGCCCGCCATGTGGTTTAGCTGGCACCCAGATGGCAGAGGCTGTTCCTGCCCAGACAGCCAGCTCCCTTCCCCAGCCTTGTGTGCTGTCGGCCTCCTCAGGGGCTTTTGTACTGAAGTGGTCCTTGGAGGGGATGTTCCCAGGGATAGGCTCCACCAGAAAGCCACATCATCACAGTCCAGTTTTCCTCTCTTGAGGGGTTTAACTTGAGTTTTTAATATGTACTAAAAAGAGAGGTTCTTCATGGAGCTCAGCAAAGTTTTAGGAATCCTTGAGGCAAAATTTTTAAATCTTTTCCCACTCTTGGTTTAGGAAAACAACTGGCAGAATTATCTGGAAATGTTAACATACTCATTGCAACACAGAGATGGGGGAGTAAAAGATTTTGTTTCAAGGATGGTTGTATTTCATATCGAAACTCCTGGCACTAAAGTGGAATTTGAGATTACCAATAAAACACCTATGCTTTTCAGTACAGTTTGAAAGAGGTTCTTACTGAATTAGCAGAGAGGTTTTGTTTAGCAAACAAGTAAATTATTTCCATTAGACTATGATGATATAATATAGTATGTTTCATTCCTGTTTTTTCTAAAATTCCTAAACATAATTGAAATCATTTGAGAAATTTTGTCTTGGGGAGTCATGTGCTTATTTATAAAAGCTAATTTTTTGCAAAGAATTAGCTACAGGTCTATCTGTATCATGGTTTGAATGAAACAAGTCTGAGTTGAGGTTATAGACTTAACAATTAGATGCTGAGTGGACACTCTTGGAGATCTAGATAATAAGATAGGGATGCTGAAGTAAGTACAGATAAAACTATACAAAGTGATACTTAAAAATTAATGTAAGTTAATGTACTTTACATGCTGTCAGGAGTGGGATTACTGCTGAATAGTATAGGCCTTAAAAAGGGAAGATTGTGTTAAAGCAGTGTTCTACTTCTGGAGGTAATCAGGACTTATTGGTTAATGTTTCTGAGTGACATTACTCTGAAATCTGCATGGCTTTAGCAAGACCCTTAGACCCTTGGAAAGGAGTAGTGGCTGGCACACAGATGCATTATCTAAACATAAATATTGTCCTCATGAGTACCTTTGACTCTGAGGAGATTCTGTACCCTTCCTAATTCTTCTCCTAGAGAGGCACTGAGACTGAGATAGCTGCTAGTTTATGGAAAGGCTCTTGTCGCTTTTTGCCCCATCTTATCATCACATCTGGCTAGGTGGAAGGTTGTCTTGAGTTGTCTGAGGAAAAAGATCTGAGGCTCTAGCTGTGAAAGATCAATCAAGACAACAGTTTGGGCAAAGTTCTTCTCTAACACACAGCGGCCACCCTGAGCTCGAGTGTAGGCAATAGCAACTGGAAAAAAATGGCTTTGCATCTAGTGTCCAGCATTGACTATTTTGATTTGGGGTAGCAGTCTTGAGATTACGATTTACCACTTCTGGTTTGAAGGACCCAGGATGATATGAACTAACCAGAAACCTCTTAAATCTACTGAAGCCAAGTGCAGGGCAACTCAAGCTTTCTGAATTGACCTGGGAACCCAACATTAGTTATGACATTGCTTCTATGGGAATATGATCTATCCTAATCCATAGGGAACTGGTTTGCTAGGCCAAGTACAGTGCTTTGCTGGCAGTTAGAATCCATCAGCAGCTTTATTGGAGAAAGTCTACTCCCGTGTGATTTCCAGCCTCAGAAACCCATGGAAGAGGGCGGGCTACTTGTGTTGGAACCTACTTGGCGGTAGTGAATTTGAGTTTTTTAAATCTCAAACTCAGTGGGTGTATTCTAAAATCAAGTTTAATTCACCAGTTGTAAAGATTTGCTTTTCTGTTCTGACAATTCACTGTAAACAAATGCTGATGATATAACCCAGAAAAGGTCAGATTAGCAGGACACTTTTTTTTAACCTTTGTTTCTGTTTGTTCATCATTACATTCCCAGTGACTAGCCCAAAATTGACACTCAGTAAGTGTTAAACTTTAGATGAATGATCAGTGAATTTGTAACTATATCCACTTTAGGTTGTTAATTGAAAAACAGTATTTGAAAACAAGCTAATACATAAATTGTTAAAAAAGAGATCCTGGAAATTTTCCAAGTTTCTAAAAGGGCCTTCCTCTGTTTTTTAGTAATTATTTCATCTAAATAATGGTCCTTTTTTCTAAGTGGTACAGCACTGGTCTGACAATTTGCCGTTCTGAGGTAACCTGGGGTTGTTGTGATACTGAACACTGTGCCACTAGGGTGTCAGATGCCATAATGATCTCACATATTGGACGGTGTTTGGTGGAGCTCCCTGATTTATCCAGTCTTGGAAGCAGGAATGCCATCCACTTCCTAAATAACAAGCCTCTGAAAACTCTATGAACTTAGAGAAATGACTATAATTATAGAATAGGATTCAGGTCTTTTGAATATAGGTTTGCTATAAGTCCTGCATGGCAAGAGGGCACTTAACAATAACAACAACAAATAATAATAATAATAATAATAATAATGGCCCTAGAGAGAAGAGTAATCGGTCCAGGTCTTGTCCTAGAACACTGACGACTTGTATTGTCTAAGAATATGTCTTTATCAGGTGCTGACAGTTGCAGGAGTTTGAGAGGGTAGTGCATGTCTCTAAGTGTCAACCTGTTTTTCAGTATCTGTTGATATATTTTTTTGGACTCCCTGAATGGTGCAAATGGCTAACAAGTTCAGGTATTTAACCAAAAGGTGGCTCAAGTTCACTTAGAGATACCTTAGATGAGAGGCTGCTGATCTTCTGAAAAATCAGCCATTGAGGTCCTTGCAGAGCACGTTTTATTCTGACATAGCAGAGCCTCTGTCATTTGAGTCACCATGACTTGGTGTCATCTACTTTTGGTAGTTCATACATTTTTAAGGTGAAAGGTGGCCACTCACTTCCTGTGCCTTTTACTGTCCCCTCCCCCACTAAGGGGTCAGCTGTGGGTTGGTTCTGACAGGATGAGACGCAGCAACAATCTAGCATTTAGTGACTCTGGTAGCGCAGTCTGCAGGTAGCTCAAAGGTGGCACCTCTGATGGTTCAAATCCTTCAGCAGCAGTTTGGGAGAAAAATAGACACTCGGCTCCTGAGTGGTCTTCAGGTCCTGAAAATCGCCAGGAAGGCCAGCTGTGAGTTGGTTCTGACTCTGACAGTGAGTTTGAGTGTCTGAGTATCGAAGC